ACATGCAACAATTCTCAACTGACATGGTTTAAATTATTTATAGACTTTCCTAATCATCTCTTCACTAAAATGAGAACACTTAGCATGCAATGTAACAATTTAAGTTCAAATGCACAACAGCTGCATCACTAGGTTTTTTTATTGCTTTGTTTTCTCTCATCTTTTAAAATGTCAACGTTCACCAAACTCCAGAAGAGAAGGTTAAAGTTTTTCAGCAAAGTGTTAGTAGCAAGTTCAAGAAGAAAATGGAAACTTAAATAGAAAACTTACCACAAATCTAGCCACCTCTGTGGGATTGTGAACAGCTATACTTTTTAGGAAAAATTCAATGATTATGATTTCTTTCTATCTTTTATGTTCGTTTTTCTTTTTCTTTTTCTTTTTTCAAAAAAGGCTAGCTTTACCATTGCATGAAAACAAAACATCTAAAATAATCACCCAGGCATACCTGGGTTTAACATATCACTTAATACTCAAAATTGCAATGGCAAAAAGTAAGAAAGTCATTTTTTTCTTCTTTATTTAACAAAGGTGCTATGCCTTTCAGTGTGCACAGATACATATAGACCAGAAACAAATTCATTTAGGAGAAAAGGAAATAAAAAGTATAAGAAGATCCAAGATCATTTGTTGTTGCTCTGTAGGATAGCTTCAGATTAATAATTTCATAAGTGAGTTGAAGAAACAACAAAGGGAGGGAAAAAAAATGGTAAAAATGGAAAACCCCGTTGAAGGAAATAAGCTAAGCCTGTCATGCACAATATAAAGGACACTGTTTTGATTTTCTAGTAAAATATCAACTCCTTTACCAATAATATAAAGAGAGAAATATATGCAAATTAATCTACTTTATAAAGAATGATTGGTGCCCAAAGGTTTGGATACCCACAATATATCAAAAAATAAAATAAAACAAACAAAATAAAGAATTACCAGCATGCAAGAGTTGAAATGCGAGTATCTAGGTCATAGAAAGTTCTAGAGCCACCTAAAATACCAAATCTCAAACTCAAAGACCCTATGGTCACAAAAGATCCAGCTCATTTACCATTGCCACCCACCTTTTGATCGTTCTGCAGTCTATTAGAGTTACCCAACATGATTTCTTATTCATTCTTCCTTTATTGTTTACAAAGGAAGTACAAAACTTTGTAACAACGAACTCTACAACTCAGGAACTCTAAAACTTTGAAACAAATTTAAGCCTTTTACTCTAATTTACTACAAATTCACAATGAGTTACATACGAGCACAAAAAGAGGCAGACAAGGCACAAACTTCATATATTTATCTAAACCATAACACAAAATTAGTGAAACACTAACAATCAATAACTAGGAATGTTCTTCAACTTCATATATTTATCTAAACCATAACACAAAATTAGTGAAACACTAACAATCAATAACTAGGAATGTTCTTCAACTTCATATATTTATTTTTTTCAACTTTGTTGATGTTTCCATACTAAAACTCAGATTTCAATTGCTATTCACTAATTATAAGAGCTATCAATCTTCAAACCAAGAACGCAAACCTTCCATGGCCAGAGTGTAGTTATAGAAGGCTCTGCCATTGAGAAGAATGCAGATAGACCTAAAAGTGCAGTCAAAATCACACCTTAAGAACCATAGAAACCTTAGGCCACGCACTCCTCAACAACAATGCCCACTGCTCAATCACTCCGTACCCTACATTCACCACTCCCTCCACCGCAAGCACTCTCTTGCACGCGAAAACCAAAAGACAATAAAGCATTGCCCCAATAAAGACTCCCCGCTTCAGCAAAATCTTCAGAGACTCCAAATCCAAGCCTAAAACCTCACCTTGGTCACCACCCAGATCATTGCTTTCTGCACTAACGATCTCAAATGAACTGTAAATTCCACCAAAATGGACAGATTGAAACAGCTGGAGACTACACGACATGGGAAGCGATTACTTTTGGATGATAATTTTATTGAGCATTTCAAATTTCGATTGTGTTGCACGAAAGAGGAACACTTGGACGGAAATGAAGGACGGTCGATTGACAACCCCACAATAGTTATAGCTGAAGGAAAATGTTAAAAATTTCAAAAAAAAAAAAAAAAAAAAAA